TGTCTGCGTATGCCTGATATACCGTTACAAAGAAATAAACTGGCCGAGCTATTTATGTTTACCACTAATAATAGTTCCATGAATAAAATTATGAATACACCGATCGTTTGTCGCGAATCAATACCATTTGGTGTTTAATACGTGATATTAGACTATTGTTCAAGGGATCGTCTATAATTCACATGAAGTACAAAAATGGGGTTCCAAAAAAAAATACAATCACGAGAAGGGAGGTTAAACAAGATGTCCCGTGTGTTTATTTTGTGATTGATGCCATAAATTTAATTAAATATTAAGAAATTTTTCAATGTTTTGTACAAAAAATATACGTATATTATAGGTATACACACACGTGGTTAAAAGAACGACGCTACAAATTGTAGTTGTCAATGTTTAGCCGTTACGTCAAGAGTTCTAGATTCGGAGAAGATACTAAATAAAAAAACAACGCTTGCGACTTACTTCATATGTAATAATTACTTTGATCGTCAAAAAAATTAAATTTCATGGTCCAATTATGGTTTTTCTTTTTTGCAATCTCTGTCTTCGCTGTATAAAATCTAAATGTAAACATTTTATATCATGCTCGAATTTAAATATCAAAGAAAATTAATCGCTGTCCGACTAGTTTCGAAACCATAGCATTGGATTTCTACTTCACGATTGGCCAGGTGTGATTTATAGGATTAGAGTAAGGGTAATAGCTATTATTAGACGCACAGTTCTACTCGCCTATATTAAAGTGAGCTTTGGAATTTATTGAATGCTACTGCTTGATTTGAATGTAACTACACTCTGTTTATTTTGACAACAAAAATAATAAGATTTGTTAGTGTTTAAATATTTTAATTACCTTTTTAATTGGCTTAATGTAAATTATGTTTTCCTAGTATTGATGTAGATATGTGGTTGTCTATTGTACCTTCTTTGATATTAATAGGCCAGACTTTGAACAGCGTTTGGTTTCCATAGTAACTTGATTTGTATAATACCCCGAATTGTAAAAGGTTATGAGCGCGTAAGCTACAGTCAGTCCTTGTTTCTTTCGATACATGTTTTATTTATATGTGTCAGAGATCGAAGACAAAGGATTAAATTAAAATTTAATTTCCATTGTTTTAAATAAATATTATAATGAATGTGTCGATTTCTCATATTCCTGGATAGAATTCTCATGTCATAGCTGGCCAGTCGACTGAGTATGTGTTACAATGAACTTGTTTCAACCCGTCTATCTATGGATGCCTAGAAATCGTTTTCTATTACTTCGATCATGTGTCTTGTTAATTATCAACTCATTTGCACTTATCTTACTTGGATTTTTTTAATTAGCCGAACATTTGACCTCCATAGTGTAGAGTGAATCTAGTAGGTTATTTGGTACACAGTTCTCCTTTTCAATGTAGAGTAAATTTGCGTTGACAATTAATTTTTAACAAGTTTTTTTAACAATTATGTTATTCTCCTTGCTCTTCGACGTCTTCTTTTATTATCATAACTTGTAAGTCTTATAGTTCAGACTAAATAGATGAATTTAGAGGATTGTGTTGCTTGCTATCTCTTTATTTTTTTTTAGATATAGAGAGATACGATATTTTTTTTTGTCAGAATGTTTTGGCAATGAAAACTCACGATTATATTGACTTAAACACTTATCTATGTAAGACAAGTGGTAATTTTGGTTTAGGTGTTCAGACTTCATTGTTATATTGTGCTTCTTTAACGAGCCAGCTATGTTTAGAATGTTTAATTTGTTTTTGTGCGTGTGTGGTCTTTACTGCAGATATTATTTAATATAATAAATGAGAAGTATATTCTCGTTTGTTTAACTTAACTGGATAGGCAGAAAACAATAGATGTTTGTTTTTAATACATCACAATCACAGATTATAAAACTTGGTTAATAAACATCTTTTTTCTTGTGTAAACAGAGAATCATAGGACAACGATGTCTATTGTTGATGTTTATTATAGTTCATCTAATCCTGGATTGTAAAATATTAAATAAATGGTTAATTTTTAAAAACAAATACTATGAGTAACATAAAAATCTTTGGAATTTGTTAAGTTATACATTTCAAACGATTGATTTTAAAATTGCGAGCGTCGGTGGCTCAGGGGTCAAGCACTTGACTTGCAATCTGCAGGTCCTGGATTCGAATTCCGCCATGTACCAATGTGTTTTTCGATTTCCGATTCACATATGTACATTTATCCGACGTTCTTAAGGTGAAGGAAAACATCGTGATGCAACCTGCACATATTTGAGAAGAAATTCAAAGATATGTGTGAAGTCAACCAACCCGCACTTGGCCAGCGTCGTTGACTTTGGCCTAATCACTAACTAAGAGTAGGCTCCGATCCCCTCGGATAGTGAGCTGATGATGATGAAAGATTTTAAAATTAGTGCTATCAATATTTAGTGAGTAGTTTAAGAGTAGGTAGTATTTTGTTGGGTCACGGATAAAACTTCTGTTCAAACATTAGTGTTCTAGGTTGAATGCTTGTAAAAGAATGAAAACAAAGAACAAAATGAATGTCTCCATTGTTTAGTCTTTAAGATTAGTCGTTCTTTTGTAATCAAACCTAATTCTTCTTATTGACCTTGGGTTAAATTGTGCATTTTGCACATTTCTGCCAAAGTTTAAAGCAAATGAGGACGTATTTACTTTAAAGAAGTAAGGATAACTTTGGTGACTTAGGCGCTAGGAAAGAAATTAATGAATGAGAGATGTATAAATGTGGTAATTCGAATCCTACGGAGTAAAAATTCATAATATCTCCGTATCGTATTTTTAGCGTTCTTCTTCTTCTTCTTGAGGTGCCTCTCCGACTAGCGAAGGTTGGCGAACAGTTCTCCATATTCCATGGTGAACTGATGACTAGGGAAAGAGAGCTATCGAGTAAATATGTAAATCGAACGTATCCTACAGGAACCGTACACATTTTCTGGATCTGTGTTCTCATGAAAACATTCGCATTTATAATATTAGTAATATTTAATTCGCAATATCTTTGCAAAGAGACTTTATGATATAAACTGATATACAAGGTTATAATCAAGGTTATAACTGACAGTAACATTCAACTTTTAATTTAATTTAGTTCAAGTTTAACTAAATTCTTATTAATTTTAAGTCGTGACTTAAAAACTAGTTGTTATGATAAAGAATGTTTTCGTTTTAATGAGCATTTTAATAATGACTTAACTTACTTATGCACTTTAATTATATGGGAGCCCTTAAAACCGGTGGTACGGGTTTCACTATAAGTTTGAACGCTATTATTTATCATGCGATGCATTGGACTTTTTAATCTATTTATTTAGTCTCTGTCCACCTTTAATAAGATAAGTAACATCTTAAACATTATATAACGTGATGGAATAATCTTTATGAAATTTATGTACTAATCACGAGTTTCTGAGTTCAAACTCTCTCTATATAACATATCGTCATCCCTGTCATTATCTTTGACAAAACAGAGATAATAATATGATTGAAACGGAGATTTCGGTCTCCGTAGTATATTATAAAAATTATATAATATAAAAACTGTGGTACCAAAACATATGTTTTAAAATGTACAGCAGGAACATAAGACCGGCGACATTCGGTCAACGCCTTTGATCTCTGCCATCTATCTTTCACATTAGTTTCTAATATATTCTGTAGTGTTACGTGTTATATGTCCATTGGCCTAGATATAACGCATCCCAGTGAAAGTTTATCTCCGAGAGATCAGTTCAGATCTCTCCAACGTATATCCCGCCTGATACTTGCCCCTGGCATCTATTGCTCAAACTAATCCCATTTGAATTCGTTTCACTTCGACTTTTAAATCTTGTTAGGGTTACCACTGATTGGAATTAAGCTATAGTAAATACACTTAAACAATTACAATTCAAACTTTAACAATTCAATTAAAGAGTTAAGTTATATTTTATGTCTTTGAATCTTGCAAACTCTTAATAATCTTATGTATTTATTAGTGAATTAGTAAACATTCTTATCGAAAACGAATGTGTTGATATCAGAATATTGATCTTTACACGGTGATATATAGTGACGTAACACGTTTCTATTTAAGGCGATATTTCATAACGTGCCAACCCTATTTGGAGTTCCTCGTGCTAGGCCAAAGGCGTTGTGCAACGCGTGTCCGCCTCCCGTGACGTGTCCGGTATATATTTTATACCTTTTACAAACACAACCCAGAAAATCCGCTAACGCTAACGCCGATAACCAAATTATATCAAAAAAATCCTTTAGTGCAACCCTACTCATAAAGACAGACGTTTCTAATCTTTTCTTTTGAGTTTGAACTGTAAAATACCTTTACACGGGAGTGAAAATAACAAATTTTGCCTCAGCCAGGAATCAAGTGTAATCTCTTAACCGTTTACTTAAACGAGGTTTAGGCTAACCGCCATAAGCACCCGGCCACCTCAAACCTGGTGAAACTTTAAATGCCTCTTCAAGGCAAACAGTGACTACTTAGTCACAAAATTTTTTTATTACTAAGCTAATGACTTATTTTTGTTGTATGTTTACACAAAAGTTACCAATTGATTTGAAATTGCATTTTACAGCAATATTTTCTCACATTAAATGTGACTGGGTATGAGTCATAAGTCTAAAATAGATTGTGTTTCCGTTAAATCAATGTAAGATCCTTTATAAAATGCCTTAAAGTTGCGAAGCGAGCTGGTAACTCGTTTGAGTCATGCATTGCGTGACACATTGCTTCATTTAACAGTGGCGTTGTAACGGCAGCTAATTCATATTAATTACAAAATTATTATTACTAGCAAGCTGAATGTGTGGCAACGTAGTGTGTGAGATCGACACTTACGTCATCCACCATTGAGTTTTTATATCAAGTCGCATACAATTGCTCTACTTAATAGAATCAGGAAAACATTAGTACAAATCCTTGCAAAATTATTTTAGTTCTTAAAAATAATATAATCTTAACAACCATCATTTATATTTATTTAGATTGATTTTTTAAGAACAGATCTCAAGCTAAATATTTAATTTGTTTTAAAAAACAATAATGATAAATCTAGTCAGTGACAATCATAGAAAAATGAAGTCTTCCTCGCCAGTGTCCGCTTTATGTGAAACAAGAAAATACGTTATTACCTGCACATCAGTGAAATCCGTTGCATTATGAAATTAAAACATTATCCAGGAAAAGCGGTCATGGAGGACCCCTGGCTTTCTATCAATGATAGGACTATGGACCTTGTTTATGCTGCGAATTGGGTTGGAGCAAGCAATCTCAGCAGCTATAATGAAAACGACAACGGTTCTAACAAGGTCAAATTTAACTCAATATCCAGGAGTAAATCCTGTCGCGACATCGGACGCAATGACAAAGATACAAGCAAAGCGAGCTCTTTTGACGACGATGCTTACAAATCCGATCAAAATGTTCCTAGTGAAAATATTTCACCTCTAGCCAAGTATCAACAAGATATAGAAGAAAAAGCTAGAGCAAACAACGATCTTATTAGTCAAAATAAATTAAAACATAGCTATAGTTTCAAGGATATGCCAAATGGTTACAAGCCTTCTACTCTACGACGAGTGAAGCGAAGAAACTTTACCGAATGGGATATTGAAGCATTTGGTTCGAATGAACGCCAAGCACCCGCTCCTCCACAAAGAAAAGATTCCCTCAAATATGCACACAGGCAAAGGAAGGTGGACTCTAAGAAATCATATTATCCGTTACCGGACCCTGGTCCAGTACCACCGGATCCATCATCTGAATCATATTATGAATATTATTCAAGAGTAAGTCAACAGAACAATGATACCGACAGTGATAAGATAAAGTTACAGAAAGATACTAAGAAAGAGCGAAGTTCAAATAACGAAATGAAACTAAACGGCACAGTTCGGGGCTACAACAATGGTGGAGACACGATGTATCACCTGATAAATTCTATGGCTACATTAGATTTATCACCTATTAAAGCCAGATCTAAAAAGAACCTCGACACAGATTGTGAAGCGGAAGATTTAGGCTTATATATGCGGCCTATTAAGGAATCGTTATCTACATGCGATCGACTTCCTGAGCGCACTACGCAACAAGAGAACGAGCGAAGCGGACGTGCAGATGACGTAAAACCCAGTTTTCGTTCTAAATCGATGCGAGTTAAAAGCGAAGGTAGGGCACCGCTTCGTGCCTATCTTGACTCTGTAAATAATGATAGCAAGGCGTTTAATAGTGTGACGGTCACGCAGCCGAAAAGGAACCTTTCTCCGAGCGAGCAGCTTACGTTAATGCAGTACGATATGTTTAATAGTAATCAAAAGCAACCCGCGACTCCTATCAACGGATTTCACTCGTTTGATGAAGCGAAAGAAAGTGACTATCGGACTACTAACGGTGCTTTAAAACAAATCAAACGTGATAAGTATGGAAAGTTGTATAATACAGTGAGGGTGAAAAGTGAAGACAGGTACGATAGGTATAATGACATTTTATCGTTTACTCAACCAAAAGATGTGATAAGTGAACAACGAGTGACTACCACGAACGGAGTATTCTCTAGAAGTGCCAAAAGTTCGTCAAGTGGTTCGGATTCTGACTTTTCTATTCCTCGTCCTAAGTTGATTGTGCCAGTCCACACGTATGGGCTTAGGAAAAGACGTACTGGAAACCTTTGTCAACGTGACAGTAACGCTACGGAATCCACGCTCGATGCCGGAGTATTACTTGATGTAACACGATTGGAAGATTCTAACAATGCGTCTGGTGAAAACGAGGACTCAGGTAAAATATTACTTTAGTTTCTATCTCTAAATCTAAAAATAGAAACGCTAACGTTCGCGCTATTGTTTTATCTTAAGATGTATTACTTTATCTTATTGTTTTGATCTCGTGTGTACTGATGTTGATTGATGCTTTTTTGCATGAGACGTTTTCGAGGTCATTATAATTTTTAAAATTTTATATGCTTGGTACATTTGGGTCGTATTTGTTGCGAAGGACCTCAAAATTTAGAGAAACTTTGAGGAAGCTTTGTTACGTAGTTATGTTTATTAATATTAATAAGTTATAACTTTCAAAGACCATTATTATTCCCACGGTTGCTTAATCAATCGAATATATTAAACATATATATGAATGGTTAATATTTTATGTAATGTCCATAATAATGTGAATTATGTTAATTCCAATTCTTCAATAGGTGACAATGAAAGTAAAGATAATATAATTTTAAGTTTAATCATAACATTACTTTCAAGTCTCGATGTTCCTAACATTATTCAAATTTTCTGAACGATATTTTTAAGCGATCAAATTCCATTATAATCTAAAATCAACAGAATTCTTTGTGTTTTATATCAACATATTTTATTGTAAGCCTTTGTGTTTTCAATAAACATTAAATGAACGTCATTTAATTCGAATAACGTTTAATTGTACTGCATACAAAGAAAAAGATTCTTAGTAATGATTGTCGCAATTACAATACAATGTATAACATTGCAGATAGCTATTCTTAAAATTGTGCAATATAAAAATTTAAAAGAACATAATAATAAATACATAGAGATATTATGATATGCTTCTCGTACTCCTTCGGTTCTATACGAGGATGTGATGATTTGGGAATAGAATTTATAATCTGTGTTGTAATTTATGTTATTCCAAGCGTTTAGTTACTAGCCCTATATACTTCTACACAATAAGAGGGGTTACGCGATTGTTTATACAGCAAGCAACAAAATGAAATATGTTCGTGAATCTCGTTAAATTCATTGACAACTTTTTGGTAGACTGTACAAGCAACTTTTGAGCAACAAAATCTAATCCAGGGTTGTACGGGTTGTATACACTTCTTAAAATGTGATAAGGTTGCAAGATTCGTTTCATATACAGAATGCACGCAATCATAGGCTAACACGTCTAATATCGATTAAACTATTCACTTATGACCTACTTCTATTCGAGTCATGCATGATCGAATAATTATATCGTGCAAATATGTACTATGTTTCTTTTATATGTCATGGTTGTTATAAAATAACGCCACCATAAAGCAAGATGTGTGTTTATTTAAGTAGATTTTCTTAGACTTTCAAAGCTACTAAAGTAATCAAAGAACGAATTACATTTGTTCAGAATTACATACCAATATAGTATAATATTTAATATTGCATCTGTTTATGCAAATATAGCACTTTATAAGAGTTTTATTTCTTCCGTGAAGTTGTTTTTATAAGTATTAAGTATTATTACGTAAGCATCTTTCAAATATCGAAGCAATGCGCGTATTTGAATCGAACTTGTGACCTAAAATATGCGTTCGTATTGCGTTGGAGCCTTGGAATACTTTCATTCTCCGCATCACTAAGTAATTTGCTCCGGTCTTGCGAATTTCAATCGTTTCGATCGACATGTCCTGTGCAAGTGAAAATTGCTTATTGATTATTACTCGTATGTTCTTTCTTAATAAACATAATGCTCAAGATATCAAGTCTTTATTGCATACTACTTACGTATTGCAAATTTTTTTTTTGTGTAAAAACACATGGTGAAATTACGTGTGCAATAATAAAACTGCTTTTTATAGTAAGGCATGCATGAGCAAACGGACAACCTGATTAATAATACCTATTAGTTATTTTGTTAGATGTTCTTAATTTGCAAAAAGTAAAAGTAAGTCTTAAACAATTTACTCTGTAGAAATAAGCTAAGAATTTCTCTTTTAAGTGTGAAAACATATATTTGACGTTAGCTTAGAAAATGCGTTAGAAACTGTGGTGCCAGTTCGACTGATTAATTATTTTGTTATACTATCGTCGCTAATGTAAAAATTGAAATTACTTTATTGAAAAGAGTACGTGTCTTGATCAGGATTAAGCTTTTAAGCAGGTAATAAGGATTGTTTATATATGAGCTTGTTACCTTGAAATTTAGAATTGAGTTGCATATTATTTAATATTTGTAGCACTTAAAATTCATAGTATGAACTAGATTTGAGGTGTAATTAAAATAAACGTTATTTAATTAAAACAGATTGTAATAAATATCTTGTAGATTTACACAGGTGTTCTGTTCAATAGTAAGTTTACTTAGCAACATGTTACGTTATTTTTTATTCATATTGCGTCAGTTAGACACCATCCGCGCGTTTAGAAAAAACAAACTTAAATAGTAGTCTATGTATTCTTCCAGACTATGTTCTACGTCTATGCAAAATTTCAAGGGGATCCAAGCATTTATAATATTAGTAAGATTAGTTCACGAGTGAGGTTTGTAACCGATTTTTTTTATCCCTTTTTATTCACGGAAAATGAGAGAAATTACCATAATTTTATTCATATTTCGGCAGTGAGAACCCACAGTAATATTTAGGTTTAAATTTAGAAGTATTTATTACACTTATATTTGATCGATTACTGATCATTATCTTAATTACCACAAATAATTATTAATTATCTATTCAAACCACAAATTACTATAATAATGAATCGTAACGTGTTTTGTTTTTTCAACCAAATAATTACAAGTTCTGTCATTTATCTTAATGGTCGTATAGCGGTATTTCTGACTCTTATGAATGAACTTTTTTGAACGGATACTATACCAGATTTAACGGACGTTAAGAATTAATAATTCGTATTTGTATCCGATATATGTTTCTTTCGCACACTACTTAAATTGATCTCACGGTTATCTAGTTTTTAAGGTTTTCTTTTTTTGTCAGTTATGTATTTCATGTATCCAGTTATAGAACCTGCCAGCGACTTCGTTATGCGAAAATTTAGTGTAATAAATATAGCCTTTATCAGCCAGAAACAGCTAGCTACTTAACAGTGAAATGCTTGTTCAAATCGGTTCAGCAGTTTCGGTAGCCTATTCAATGCAAGCAAACAACCAAATCTTTTCTATTTATAATATTAATATAGCGTAGAATAGCAATTGGAGATTAAGTGAAAATATTTTATACATGTAGGAATATGGAAAAGTTTTCCTGAAGTAAACCAAGTGATTCAGCTGTCAGTCCAGTCTAATTATAATAGACGAGGCCTAAAATAAGGAAAGTTGAACTTATATCGGCACTAAGAATTCTAATTTTCAAAATTTTACAATACTATGTATATGTTGCCGACACATACGGAACCTTTTTATAATTTTTACTTATAATTTTTATATTTCGAACATATTTTTTTCCTTTTTGTTCCTATTTAAAACATCAGTAGTAAATATATCTTCAACCAAACAAAAATTGTAAAAGCAACCTGACATTATAATTATCTCCCGTCAGAATATACGCGGCAATGTAATTTACTGGCCCTCTCAGAGACGATGCTAATGACTAACTTTCTTGTAATTTATAAACGTCATCTAGGATTTGATGAAAACTAAATATGTATGTAGTAGTATGAAGAATATACAAGTTTCTTTTTTATATATATAAACCATTTTACTTTTAAATTTAATTTTAAAATCAGGTTAGATTGATTTGAATTTTATGTCTAGTTGACTTATTTCTCGAGGTTATCCACAATTACTTTGATATTTATTTTGTCATTTTCTTAAACGATTGCAATCGTAACCTTGATTCTAATTTATCCTTATAAATTACTTCTTTACTATTACATTTGACCTTTTACATCAAGTATAATTAGCATTTTAAATAAAGAACACATATAAGTTTGATAAAATTTACATTTAGAACAGCGAAATTGATTTTTTAAATACCTCTAAGAAACAAAAACAGCACAACACAATACACCCAGGGTTGGAATTAACTTGAATTCGAGAAAGTCTTAAAGGGAAAGACAGCTTTATGAATTAGCGCATAGAATTTATTTTTCCATGTATTTTCAGAGGGCAGAGTGGAGGTGTCGCGAGAGAACAAATACCTCAGCACGATGGCGCCTGGCAAGGTATTCGGAGAACTGGCAATACTGTATAACTGCAAGAGAACAGCCACCATCAAGGCAGCCACCGACTGTCGCCTTTGGGCCATCGAACGGCAATGCTTCCAAACCATCATGATGCGTACCGGTCTCATACGACAAGCTGAATACACTGACTTCCTTAAGAGGTGAGTACTTTTTATATTCTTATATTGTAGAACGAAATGCCCTAAATTATCATGGTCTTGAATTAGGCTTCAAGGCTCTCGGTAGGGAACTATTTAGGTAGGGAGCTGATGTTGATGAGATTCTCGTGCGATTTTCTTTCATGAATGGAACGATTGATGAATGAGATTTGGATTAGTCTCAATGACTTTATTATTAAATAATCCTTAGGATTCAGGACTAAAAATGATGTTTTTCTGTTCTGGAACAGGCGTTGGGCTGCAATGAGCCGCTACTTAAAATAAATAAATCTAATAATCTCCAATTAAAAAACAAAAGACGTACGTAACGTGCCTTTTACAAGGAACTTTGTTATAAATCAAATAAGCTATTTAAAGCTATTTTTATATTTAATTGTATATTGTACAATATTTATTCACTTACGTGTAATGGCTGTGAAGCTAAAAGATAGGAATTATGGTCGACGAGGCGAGGACGTCCGTTTTTGTTACGCTACGCCTGTTGTGTTACAAAAGCTACGGTGTAAGACGTGTTTAATTATAGATGAAACAAATTGAACACTGGCAACATAACCCCGGATGTTTTTAATGTGACAACACTGCTCTTGCATCTCTTAATATGCACTCAATACTCTGTGAAATTAACTAATTAATATTTTAAAATTCAAGTAAGGTGACTGTAAATGTAACACACTTATAACCGAGCGGACCGACAAGAGCATGTATACATTTAATTATTATTAATAAAAATATATCTTACTAGTATTATAAATACGAATGTTTGGATGGATGGATGAATGTTTGTTTGAAGGTATATCCAGAACGGCTGGATAGATCTCGCTGAAATTTGACATAGATATTGAGCATATTCTTAGAAGAACACATATACTATTAATTAAGTTTTTTTATTTCGCGCGGACGTAGTCGCGGGCGATAGTTAGTCTTTTAATTATATAAGCAATGCTTTTGTATTATATACATTTCGAATATTGCAAATATATTTATAACTATCGTTATATACATAGAACATATATCATTAAATCTTTTGATGTTGACTGTTGTTGCACTGCACATTTAACTCGTCTAGTAACAGTGTTAAAAGCCGTTATTGATCGGTAACTAGCGTGACCTGAATGTTGTTAACGATAATGGAAATTACACACTTTTTGATCTTGTTAGCATTATTTTAACTTTGAATGTTTGATATACAAATCCTTGGTTTAAAAGATTTAAATAGTTGTTATGTTTTTTTAACACCACGATTCTTTTGTGTTTAATGTAAAATATTTATTAAAAAAATTGTACACAGTATTCGTAGTTGTGGTAATTAGCGGGAATTTGTAAAAAAAAAATATAATTTAAATTACATGTAATAAAAGAATGAGAACTACATCAACTAATTATATTTCGTAAAACGAATCGAGAAACCAATACTATTTTTGCGATACGACACGCGTGTCTCATAGTAATAACTTTTTCTTTTAACATATAGTCACGAATTTTAAACTTCTGCCTATAGTTACTTTTTCTTAAATAAATATGCAAATATATTTGCAAATCATATGTATGCGAAATTCTTTGGTAGTTATGGCTTAACGTTACTTACCGTGGGTTTCCGAGACAAAAAACTCCTTTGACAAAAAATGATTTGTACCTCTGGCTAACAATATGTTATAAACCTTAGGTCTTACAACCTCACGGTTAGTTACAGGGTCCTCTACGGCAATTCCAACCAACTGATACCACTGTTAACATTTTTATTTCTATGTTAAACGTGTTATTACGAAATTCAATAGAAATACAAATAATATTGAGTAAAGGCAGATATTACAAAATTCAATTGAGATCTCGTACTTGTCTTGTTTCTTAAAATTCAAGAATAAATAGGGCTTCTTTATTACGTGTACGATGTTATTGCTTTTCATAATATTTTTTCTGATATAAGACCGCTTTTGATATTAGATATTCGGTTATGATATTAGATATTTTTCATACATAATTATTCGGACATAATTATTTGACACGGTCCATGAATAGATTTTTGAATAAAGCGAACTCGCCTTAAATGTGTTTATAACCAACGTCAATTCTTTTGCTCCTATAAGTTTCTTTGTTCTAAAACGTTTTTCTAATCACATTATTCCATTTTTAATAATATATTATTAATTAAAGCGCTTGTTAAAATGCCGTGCATACTAAAAAGTAAAAAAAAAACTCTGATGTTTCCTGTTAAAGTTCTGTTTACGAGTGAGGTCGGTACCCTCGCGGTCTGGGTAATTTGTTTTGACGTGTTAATTCAACATGCTGTTCAACAATTATTTTAACACATGGTAATCATTTCAACGCTTGTTTACGAGCTTTTGTATACTGGAGTCCAGGATTTAAACCAATATTAAAAGTTTGATGTGATATTTAAAAGATCTACAAAGGAATTATTTCATTCGTGTTGACAAACGACAAATTTTTTAAAATTTCACTTTTTTTCTTGAATTATAGTTCACAGCGGAGTTAGACAAAGTGCATTCGCTTCGAAGCTATTCAGATACGAGACAATCATGTGACTTATCGAAAGTTTTTCTTCAGTCCTATACATTTTTTTTAAAGTTCGTTAGCAAATTCACTTTGTCTAATCTCTCTATTACTGTAAAGGATAGAGACCCATGAAATGTTAAATATCTAATCATATAAGTCATAAACGTAGCCTAACCTATTATAATTTTTATTAATAAATATTTTATTAAGGGGTTACGGAGACCTTTCTGTGTTTAAAACAACTTCAAAAAGTAGAAGGCTAGCATTTCGTCTATATTTTACTGTTGTATACAAAGCTTTTTCATAACCCATTCCAACGTTAAAATAAGATTAATATTAGGATTACGTTCTTGAAAGCTGTATGAACTTTATTATTTGCTTTCTCGAATGCATAGCCCAGCGAGGTCGCGGGATGACAAAGAGGATGTTGACCTCGGACACTTATGCAGATGCAAGCGGCCCGAGGTCTATTCTTCTGACTTCAACTCTAGAGCACGGTCGACAACGCCCCTTTGTTAATCGCCTGTATATTAATTTTATTACTCACTTCCCAACTTAAAGCTTATTAAAATTGCCTCGTTTCATATTGTATGCTATGTCTCAAATATAGTTAATATTTGAGTTTTAATAGCGTTATTTTTACATATAGTATTGACCTTGTTGTTTAAACAATTTCGTTTAATGTGAATAAGCAATCTAAAAATATTAAATTGAAATACGTAACTTGAGTCTTATTTTTAATTATCACTAGCTGTCACCCGCGGCCCCGTCCGCGCGGAATTAAAATAAACATAATTAGTAGCATATGTGTTCTTCCAAACTATGTTCTATATGTGTGCCAAATTTTATCGAGATTCGTTAAGCCGTCCTGCAGATACCTTCAATCAAACCATACATCCAAACATTCTCATTCATAATATTAGTAAGATTACTTATGTATCTAAGTTATAAAATAAATATTACTTAAACCTATCGACCGTGTCAATATACTAAGGAAACTCTAGACCTTATTGTGAAAGGTATCAAGTTGCGTTGTTTCATAAAATGATAAGGAATCCTTAGTAAAGTTGACGTTGTGGTGGTCCGTGCGAGTTCCGACTAAAGTGGCTTAACCATGAGTTATGTTACACTAACGTTTTTTATGATGACATAAAAAATGTTAAGTTAAACAATACCTCGCAATATGACGCCTTTGTTTACAAAGATTCGTGAGAACTTAAATATATTTTATTTAAGGCCGAATTATTAACACATTCAGCCAATACAATATGTCAACTTTCTGGACGAGTTTAAGCACTGTACGTATTAATTAAGTTATATAAAATCTACTAGACTTATAGTGAGTTTAAAAATTAATTAAAAATAAGATCCACATGCAAGCACTACGTTTTAATAAAAAAAAACAAAATCGAAGCACCAGGAGCGGAGTTACGCGGTAACAAACATAAAAAATATAGACGGATTGATAACCTCATTCTTTTTAAATCGGCTAAAAAAGAGGACAACTTTGTTTATTTTCAGTCTTCAAAATGATATATTTATGCATATATTATTAATATAGTTAAGGACGGTTAAATTAAACCATAATTTTCCCTCTACTATTTCCACAGAATCATTCATAACAAAAATTAAGTTTGACTTGAAATTTTATTTTTAATGGTTACCTTATGTTGAAAGCCTATTGTTCATGTCTGTAAACCATATAAATGAAATGAGACAAGTATTATGAGATGAAATATACTTATGTACATAGTTGTGCTCTGATTCGAATGTAGTTTATTTTTTCTTCTTTGAAACAAAGTCTTTACGAAATTCAATCTCTGTAGAGTTGCTCAAGCGACTTACGCTTTGCGAAATAGTTTGTCGCGTTCGTTTGGATCGTGACATTTGTGTTTGCGGGCCTTTCACTCGGACCGATGTGTCACCGAGGACGTGATATCCTTTATCAATGCAACTGGCTCTGGAAACTGGTACTGCGCTTCTATCGAATGTTTATTTCAGCACGTATTTTGCTTTAGTAATATATACTTACGAAAATAAAATAAACACATTCATGAAGCAAGAACAAAATACGATTGTATTATAAATGACAGAATTATATAATATTATTGTTACGAGTTATTTAATTTAAAAGCTTACTTGAGCAGTTCTTTAGTCCTTCACACTAAATTTGCACTAAAGCTCTAGTTAAGTGACCAATTAACGGTTATGAGACTAAAATCATGTCATTACGTTGATACGTATAACATTACTCGTCCAGTGGTTATGATTCAGTGAAATTCAATAACAAATACGATATAAAACCTTTTTGTTTTGTTGCCACATTAATATTTAAGCTTGTCACCTTTCTTCTCAGACATCCGTTGTGTATTATACAAATCTGGAAGATGTCAGTGGAATTTTACTATCATATTCCGAGAGATGTTTGCATTAACATCCGTTCAGTTATAATTAAACATGTTGACACAGACAGGCTACGTTTCACAAACGCTACTCGTGTATTATATGACATACTTACCCAGTAATTTGATTCATTATAAATAATGTGCGTGACATTTGAGATACCAGGCATAGACGATATAAAATACTAAGTCATTACCTCAGTAAATTACTCTCTTTAACTGGGTTTCTAAAGTCGGAATAATTAAATTATAAAAACTTTCATGAGACATTATACTAAACTGTTATAAAAACGGCTAAACACTCACGTATATTCGTCCGGTGGCGACGGGCCGCGTCCGCGAAATAATACCAGAACCACTCATCCTGATGAAGGGCCCCCGATGGGCTCGAAACTAGTCGGTGCCGCCACCGGACGAATATACGTGAGTGTTTAGCCGTTTTTATATCAGTTTAGTCGGAATAATATTTATTGTGTTACAACTTCAAATTTAACCGAGGTCCTATAATTAGCGATTAAGATTTTTAAACATAGGTTTACATTGAAATTCTCTTGCGTATCATTTTATTTTATTCATGAAAGTATTAATAATATTTAAATATTATTAAATGACATTCTCAATCCAAACATACTTGAATAATCAACTGACCTTAAATTACTTTTATTGTTTCATTTTCACCACATCTTGATATTGAGGAAGTCTTAAAACTAAATCAACATTCACTTTTGATATTTAAATTTATTAATTGAAAAAGGTCAAATAACTAAACGAATTTTAGTAATGACTCATGGAATATAATTAATGTTGTAGTCCACCAAGAACAAAAATATTTAGCTTCAAAGTCAAATTAAACTGAGACCCATCAGAGCTGAAATACAAAAACATCGCTATCCCTTTCATTTTTATTCAAAAAAATAGAGACAACTGTAACAACATGATATATTTGTTCGCAGTGTTCCGATCTTCAAAAACCTGCCGGAGGACACATTAATCAAGATCTCAGATGTACTAGAAGAGACTCATTACCAGAATGGTGACTACATAATCAGACAGGGGGCGCGAGGTGATACCTTCTTCATCATATCTAAAGGACAGGTATGTCTAAAACTGTTGTATATTTTTAACTTACTTATTAGTTACTTGAAGTTATTCAAAAGCTACTCATAAACATTTACAACATAATGTTGCAGACGCGTTGCCTATTTTTTTCGTATGTGGAATATAAAAAAAATCTTTTCCAATTCATCTTCATTTCATTTTACCTCTACCCAAACTTTCCTTTTTAGAAAAGGTTGAAAAAAAGGGGATAGCAACTCTGTTTTTACATGTTTAAAAATCGTATACTAGCGTAAACTTTTCTGTGACCTAAATCCCCTTTTAAGGCAGATTGTTACCTCTGCTTTGTCAAAGATAATAGGGGGAGTGACAATATATTATAGAAGGATTTTAGTCTCAGAAACTAACGAATAATGCAAAAGTTATTTTAGCGAAACACAAACGTGCTAAATGATAAGTTGTAGCAAATATCTTTATGTCGCATAATTGCTTGATTACTATGCAAGGAGTGGTTATAAGTCCGAATTTCCGCTTAACCCGTGAGAAATTTTACTTTACTGAAGTAGAAATATTTTCACTACCAAACTCATAACAAGCATATTGATTTGCGGCAACTTTAAAATTGGTTTTTACTGTCTTACTGTACAAAAGTATATTGTATTCCTTCTTAGTTGTTGAATAGAATTGACGCATCACTTTATTAATTGTCTACATTTTTTTTTAATTTGTAAACTATAAATTGATAACGCTCTAGCAATTGCCAGCGACTTCGCGCGTAATGAGAAAAAACATCAATAAATATAGCATATGATATATGGGGATATGCTTCTCAATAGTGAAATAATATTCCAAATCAGTTTAGTAATTTCGGAGCACATTCAATGCAAACAAGCGACAAACAATAAAATATTTTTATAATATTAGTATAAAGCGATATGTGCTATACTAAGTTACATCTACAAATCGTGATTTACGTCATGAATTAACTAGTAAAAAAAGTTAATTATTTTGACTGTCGCATCACGAATAAAAGAACAATTTTCAATAATAACTCGGAACTTGAGTTTCTTTAGTAATGGTAAAAAATTCTATAAAAAATAACAATAGATATTTAGATATTTTCGTCGACTCATCGTCTGCCGATCGCTTTGTACCAGTAATTTATTTCAATTGCGTTGATACTAACGCGTCTGGTGTTTGCAAAGATGTTAAACTGGAAAGTGAGCAATTTCACTTTCATCCCACGGATCAACTTTCAACGCAGACTCCGCATATACCACGCATCGGTGTTTTGTAAACAGACAGTTCTGAGTTCTGCGTTCTGCGATTCATGTTATGATATTATCACTGAGAGTGCGATAGAATCAATACTTAACGAATATATCTGTTTAAATTTATAAATAAACTCAACAATTGGCAAACAAAATGAATAATTTTAACAAGCCAAAATCCCTTATAAATTGCGTCAACAAACAAACGACGATCACTGTTAGACAAAGAACATATAGTAGTAATAGAAACCGATTCCTTATAAGTATACTAAAACTACAGGAAAGAATCTACTTTTTGGACTTTTTAGCATCATATCGTCCTTTATAAGATATAATAAGCTTCCAAAATGATCCTTGTTGAAACATTTTCTGTTAGAAATAGTCGTTCTATTTCTAAGTGAAAATTTCTTTCTCTTTTAAAGTCATGTACGTAGTAACTTCATGTAAATATTCTAAAGTATAGAACATATCGTAAGATTATGCTCGTGTATAATCGTAATATTCATGTCTGTCGGGACAGTACGGTGATTGTGCGACCGGTTCACCTTGGCATTTAACTCAGCTGGTAACAAAGTATCTGCATAGAACGGAACGCTCGCTAATTCAGATTTGTTATTCCAAAACTGCCACCGCTTGACCAATGCGATATATGACTAATTTTTATAAAACGTACCAAAATGTCAAATACATGATAAAAATATGTCCTATAACATATCAAATGGATTTTATTTTATACAATCGACGAAAAAAAATGTGCAAAAAGATTAGCACTTAGTCCGTATTCTCTCTTACCTCTTTGCCATGTCTTGGACAAATTGCCATAATTGAAGAATCTTACAAAAACTAAATAAAATTGTAATTAAGTATATCAATATTTTTATTAATAGTAAGCTTATTGCACAGAATATTATGCAATGTTTTAAATATACATGATATTTGTTATAGATTAAAGAATTTATTACTATTTAACTTTCTACTGTCAAGAGAACGTATGTTAAATGCGTGGCGCGTATGTAAACGCGGCTGGCTATTCAAAATGGATCGTACGTGTGAGTAAAATGTTAAACAAGAGTTGTATGGAGGCTGTGGGGCCGAAGTCAGTCTATTGTGCCCACAAGGTCAAAGCACGCCGGTCGAGGGGCCTGCGCGATTGCACGCTCTGAGGTCACAATTTTAGTACATCCGTGTGGGAAATTGTCTACCTTGAAATGCTTTCATTATTACGGTGTTTATATGTTTTGTTATGGTAATCGTGTGGTCATTGTTTTTAATATTACACATAATATTATATGAATAATATACAAAACATATAATAACGAGTATAAACCTGCTCAGGTGAATATTTAAAATGTATTATTATTATTTATTTATATAAACTAGGAATAAAATACAAATTTACAATAAAAGTGTCTATAAACCCATTGCGGGTTTGTCCAGACACTTTGGTACTACGCTATGAAATTAAACGGTAGGTATGTATCCCTTTGGGAAAATTTAGATTTAAAAAAACAAAAGAGTTATTGAACCCTAGTAGTTTCAGTATATTGCGAAATAAAATTTAATTGGCGTATAAGTATCGTCACTGAAATTTCTTATTTAATGCAATTTAGGACAATTTGTAACATGGCAAAAATAAATATAAAATACTTTTAAACAGTTTTGTCTTTGACGGTACCTTACTTTAGTGACTTGACTTGTGTGTTTAGAGTTTAGACCTTTACTACGTCCACTTTTATTGTTAAATCGTTGCTTATTGTTAATAATAAATAATAAAAACAGTCTATTAGTAATATTGCAATTCGTTTACACTGTTATTTGATATCTAGACCACTTACATAACTCACCTAGAATTTAAAACTGTTGACTATTGAATATCAAATAGAGCATTGAATTGACCGTGTTTATCAATTAGGACGAGTTTTTCTTGTTTTACCACATTTATCAATTCGTTTAAAACTGAAGCTGTGATGAAATGTTTATTTTGTACAATCGAAAGAGGTTTTAAGTCAATCTCACTAGCACCTATTCGTGATATGACGTCATAATGTCAAGCTATGTTTTTTTTTTATATCATAAGGTGGCAAACGAGCGAGCGGCCACCTCAAACGTTGCTCATAGACATACGCAATTGCATATGCGTTGCCTACCTTTAATCGACGGAGGGGAGGATGCACAGAAAGAAAATATATTCCCTTTCCATACATCATCCCATCTGGAAAATTCACTTCCGCTCACATCCTCTCCTTATAAGAAAGAGGGTGGGAAGGGAAAGAGGACTAAATTAAGCCTCCGGGATAGGAACTATCCCTAAGTATCTAGGTATGCGATAGGAACCAACTGTCTTAAAACTTTTTTCCACTGGCGCGACTACGCTAGTGTACTGTGCATAGTAAAAAATGACTAATAATTGGTATCTTTTTTAAGCACTAACATAAATAAATGTAATTACTTTCAACACTTTTAGAGATATTTTCGTATGTGCAAACGATTTTTTAATTTTACGAGGAGAAATCGCAAACTTGCCAAATCATTGCGATTTCTACAACACTCATTTAATATTCGACATGAAACGAAACGTCTTTCTTAACTGTATCAAAAAGAAAGTAAACAAGTCTCTACATTGATTTGTTCAGGTGGAAATATATAAGAAACTACATATAATTATTAATTCTATTATACAAATCACTTTAAGATATTGTTGTCTCTCATTTTTCAAAGAGAATGAGAAGGATGACAATATGTTTTACTCAATTTTATCGACAGTGGATACCCCAAGAGGTTGCTTTTAGATTCTTTCAACCGAGTCCGTTCATTGCAATACGGTTATTGCCTTAGGCAACGTTATCTCATACTTCCGTTGTTATCTCATCGATGTTTATCTAAATAGTTTTTATGTAACGGGTTCTTTTTTAATATTTGAATTTGTTATTTGCTTTAGAGCTTTTAAGATTATACTAATGTTTCTCTTTTTTTATGACAATGATAATTAAAAAAGGAGTTTTTATTAGACTTATCTATGATTATGAAATGGGCGGAAGGAACAGGTGCGCTAGTGGATGTAACTTTTTTAGTTACAGAGTTACTCGATTTAAACTCGTTTTAGTTCGAGAATGCGATAGGTATCATTTCCTACTCATTTTGTTATGTACACATGTTTACGAAGTTCTTATTGTTACTAAAACACTTGATATAACATTAAAACGTGTTTTCGGATTCACACGGACGAAAATCGCACCGTTTAAAAGCGGACGTTAATTAAAGTATTGTAAATATCCAATTTTATATGAATTGTTATGATATTATTTAAGGTATTATTACTTAAAAGGATGCTCCAACAACTGATGTATATTTCTATGTGTTTTTGGTTTAAATAAATCATTATTAAATCATTACTTGACTATGAGAAATAAATAAACGTTATAATTTTCATAGCCGTATTTTTCCGAGTCAATGTCTACTAAGGCAGATACTTAGTGTAACTATAATATAATATGAGAAATCTACGTTAAAAGAATGCTTAATTACGCATTTATGGTCCTGGGGGTGGCAGGGTAAATGAAACATATAATAATTATTTTCATTAGAATGCAAGAAAAAGATGTGATAGAATGTTGATACGAGTTCTTACGTTGACTTTTTGCTCTTGCGGCATCTCGAGAGTTGTCTTTATGGAAAGTTACTTTAATACCGATATATAGTTGTAAGCCAACTTTCCTGGTACCTTTCTACTGTTTCTATTACTCTAAAGGCTCGAGGGGAAATTTTATTTTGCATATCTTTATCACGCGTACAGGGAAATACAGGGAAAAAGTAAATTACCATAATACGGATGCATTATGTTTATAGGTCTTGTATTATTTATTTATTTAACGTATCTTGAAGCAAACGACATGAACTTTGATAAGGTCAGGGTGTTCCATAAGTAACAGAAGATAAAATTATAAATCTATATGCTGTGCATCTCTGTGACCAAAACGTGCAGTAATTAATATGAATAATTTATTTCCCGAGCTATAATACTTCTGTAATTATCTTCTTTTTTTTTCAGGTTAAAGTCACACAAAAGCAGCCTAATAGCAACGATGAGAAGTTCATCAGAACTCTTACGAAGGGTGATTTCTTTGGAGAGAAAGCATTACAAGGGTAAGGAGAATGTGAATTAATCTGTTAATATACTGTGTAACATAATCTTTATCTAATCGCTTTCTAATGTAACATCGGCTTCTAACTCTATTCATTGTTTTATTAATTTCAGGGATGACCTGAGAACGGCGAATATCATTTGCGACTCTCCTGAAGGCACAACGTGTCTGGTCATCGACCGAGAGACATTCAACCAGCTCATATCCACCCTCGATGAGATCCGCACGAAATATAAGGACGAAGGTGACAGCAGACAAAGGTACGAATGAAATGTGTTTTATTTTAATTATCATTTGCACGAGCGCTTTTTTACGCGCGACTCTCGAGCGACGAACGTTTTAAATTCACCCTTATAGCATTCGCGCAACGTTCAAAATGCAACAACACGTTATAAAATGCGGTCCACTTTAAAAAGATACATAGAAATGCATTTGTTTTACTTAAACGTTTTTTTAACGCGCGATAAAAAAGCGCCTGTACGAATGGGTGCTTATCCCTTTATGTGGGATCGGCTCATAGATTTTTGTCCTCCAAAACCATCATCATTTGACATTTTAGTTGAGATATAAATTAACAAGGAAATTGAATTATAAAACAATACGAGAATCATTTTTTGCGTGGAATATTTTCTTCTGACTTTGAGCGTTGATAAATTAAATTGTGATGTGTTACAATTACATAACGTAGCAATTAAAATTAGTGATAATATTACTAAAAATATGTTTATTCTTACTTAATTTAGCTGTTTACATCATTTATCAGTTAGTACACTAAAATTCACTTAATTTTCGATTTATTTACGAAGGACAACGTAAAATTATTCATACTATAGAAACTGTTGCTAAGCTGTTATGCACTAAAAAAATAGTTATAAAAATGGAAAGTGCCTATCGCTAGACTATTATTAATGTCTAATATTTGAAAGTTTGACTGTATCTGCACTTTTATGTACACCAAACCTACAGCAATTTGTACATCTCTATCCGTGGGTTTTTGACATTAAAATCTCTGTATAAATCATATCGCCATCCCTGTCATTATTTTTGATAAAACAGAGATAACAATATGTTTTAAACGGGGCTTTCGGCGTTAGAAACTTTTTGGTAATCGCAAACAATTGTTCCTTGTCCCAGAATCGGTGTTCCGTATAAAAACGTCATCAAGTATTATTGGCCCGTGTCAAGTTCATACCGTAACTAAATTGTTTTCGACACGCACAAAAATAGGCTCTTAGAAAACGAAAAACATCATTGTATTACTATCTTTGTTACGAAACACTAATTTTATATTTAGTCATAGTTTTAAAATCTCTTTGTACAATTTTAATTAGTTCTTCTATTTATTGCATACAATTCGGATTTGTTATGATACGGTAAGTTGACAATATTAGCATTTCTATAGTAGATTTTTTTATTATTATACACTTTCTCTTTTAATAAGCATTTAAATTACGAAATAATACAGAAGAAGTATTATTCGAAGTGTGGTAATTAACTTTCATCTTTTAGCATAGAAAATTTCATTTTTAAACAAGCACGAAGTAATTTTTCCCGCGTTTTTGTCGCCACCGATGTGAAGTTCGTGTACAATGGAATGCGACATGGTGATTGGCTGGCGTTTTAAGTTTTTTGCAAAGTAATTTTTAAAGTTATTTCACAAGAGATAGATAATTTTGATACTAAAATGTTTTATATTAACTCTTAATAATAACCGTGGACTTCCTATCTGTCTTTTACAAAAAAATCAATGGCTCCTAGGTAGTCTATGGTAAGCCACCCAATTTTTACCCCTACCCTCGTCTTACATTTTTCAAATTATCTTGATAAATACATATAAAATAACATTAGAAAGAAAAAAAACTAGATTTTGGTACTCTATTTTATGTTCATGTTTTATGCGTCGTATATTGTATGTATGTTAAAAGTTTTGTCTTGCATTTGCGTTTCATCATACGATAGTTTACATAGTACGTTAGTTTTTTTTATCATAGTCGTAAAATTGGCATATATATTTACGAACAATAAAAAATGTATTAACAAAATATTCGTGTAATTACAGGCTTAACGAAGAATTCGCCAACTTACGTCTCTCAGATTTACGTATCATTGCCACCCTTGGTATCGGCGGTTTCGGAAGAGTCGAGCTGGTGCAAATACAAGGCGACTCGAGTCGTTCGTTTGCCTTGAAACAGATGAAGAAAGCACAGATCGTTGAAACGAGACAGCAACAACACATAATGTCGGAGAAAGAGATAATGTCAGAAATGAACTGCGAATTTATAGTAAAACTATACAAGACATTTAAAGATCGGAAATATTTATACATGTTGATGGAAACCTGCCTCGGTGGTGAACTTTGGACTATACTGAGAGATAGAGGTTAGTTTATTTCGATATTGTTTGCTCAATTTTAAAAACTTAACATTATTTAGTAACTGAGTTACTGTATTACTCCAAAAATACAATTCGACATTGTTAAGTTGAACACGTGTTCTTGATTCCGATAATCGTGATTTCTGGTAATGTTTAAATTCTATGAGAGAGCGATAAAAGTGTTGGCTTTAATTTTATTGACACATTGTCTTAGTTTTTTATGGTTAGGCCCTTATGCCCCTTATGAATGATTCCTCATTAATGTTCTCCACTTAATTTCTCGGAGTTGACCCCACAAAGACGTTTTAATGTGATTAAAAAAGCAAGATTTTTTTAAATCTATTTAACGTCCTTAAGTATAAAACATGTACCATAAAGATGATGTCAAGATCGTACTTAAAAAGGAAATTCAACTAAGTGATCAAAGGACATGTACGCTACGATGTAGTCATTGCCGCACATCAGCTCGCCCACTCAACGTATACGAAAAAATATCTCTCTAAATCAGACCAATAAAATTTTATGGAATATATGTATAGTTACAAACTTTAAGGCTTCTGATATCGACAATTATAGTGAGAGATATCAAGAAATAAACCGTATTCAAATATATAATGCACAACAAAACTCTCAAGTCCCAAAATTAATGTAAATTTATACGAGTATCTATTATATTTTTCCAGGACAATTCGACGATGCCACAACGAGGTTCTACACAGCGTGTGTGGTTGAAGCTTTCCATTATCTACATTCGAGAAATATTATATATCGGTAATTAAGATAAATAAAATAATTATATAATGTTAGGAGTTGCTAAACCTTTTTATTGCCATTTGTATAGACTATTATATAGATAGTAATCATTGTAAATCCAACCAATTTGCCAATTATTTCTCAAACACATTCTGTCTTGAGCTGTAATATTTTATTCAAATTTTTACAGAGATCTTAAACCAGAAAATCTGTTACTGGACTCCAAGGGATACGTGAAACTGGTAGACTTTGGGTTCTCAAAGAAGCTGCAGGCCAGCCGTAAGACGTGGACGTTCTGCGGCACACCGGAATACGTTGCCCCTGAGGTTATCATGAACAGAGGTCATGATATCAGCGCGGATTACTGGTCATTGGGTAAGCAAATTACATTCTAAATTACTACGTAATAGGGTAAATATTTGTGTAAAAGCAATTAGCGGAAAAATTAAGTCACTGTCTTATGTAATTTACCGTGTGTTTCTAAGACCAAAACCGCCGTTAAAACAACTGCGTTTTGTCTAAGATAATGACAGAAATAAATAATGTTTTAGATTTTGAACTTATAAACTCATGGTTAACGATCAAAATTATTTGCATTCAGGCCTTGCCTAATTATAAGGATCATAGGTAAATATTTTAAGAGTTGTTTTTGTACGCTTAATAAGTATATTTTAAAATCTATTTTTTTTTTTTCGTTTTATAAAATGAATAAGGCATGTTTTGTGAAAACAATCGTTATATAAAAAGGAAACATAAAGAGAAAGAATGGTCGATGACTAATTATCAACATGTATTATGTTATATATAAATATAATTTTTGATTGTTTATTCTTATTTAATTTAATGTTTCACACAAATAATAAAAGAATGCCATGTAGTTGAAGTATCCGGCTCCTTGAATACAGTTCTACTCGGTAAGAAGTCGAGGCGACACCGACAAATATATACTAATCTATTACTCCAGGTGTCCTTATGTTCGAACTGCTGACGGGTTCGCCGCCATTCACTGGCGCTGACCCCATGAAGACATACAACAAGATCCTGAAAGGTATCGACGCGGTGGAGTTCCCGCGCTGCATCACGCGCAACGCCGCCAACCTCATCAAGAAACTGTGCAGAGACAACCCAGCGGAGCGGCTCGGATACCAGCGGGGCGGCATCACAGAGATACAGAAGCACAAGTGAGTTAATCAAGTTACAGCGCCATCTATGGAAGGCACAAGAAAATCACAGCTCCATCCATCGAAGGCACAAAACTGTGACAGCGCCATCTATCGGTGGTGTTGTAAATTTTCTGGATATATTGTATATCTAGCCTATACATGCTATGAAACTCACTGCACCTAGACATGCGACGGACGCACAGAAAGGGTGTACCTTCCTGTGCGTCCCATCTCTCACCAAATCCATTTCACTTCCCCATTCTTTTCTTATAAGAAAAATGTAGGAAGGAAAAATGCGTATAATTGGGTCTCCCGGAACTATATAAGTTTTTTATAATATCTTATGTAATTTAATTAGTAGCCTATCTGTTCTTCCAGACTCAGTTCTACATTTATTCCAAATCTCAGCAAGATCCATGCAGCTATTCTTGAGATTCATTCCAACAAACATCCATCCATCTTTACATCAAAACTTTCCCAATTATATTATTAGCAAGATTAAAACGTCCTTTTCTTTTTATTTTTAGATGGTTCGACGGCTTTAACTGGGAGGGTCTGGCGATGCGTACGCTGGAACCGCCCATCACGCCAGTGGTGAAGTCAGCACTGGACACGCACAACTTCGACCAGTACCCGCCCGATGCCGACGAACCACCGCCGGACGACCTTTCCGGTTGGGACGCCACATTCTAATTTTCGACTTCAAATCGATTTTATATATAAAAAAAATCGATGTTTTACACTCGAGTAATAATCGATTTAAGGATGTAAACTAACAAGTTGCGTTCGTCCTAGTGTTGATACTAAAAATCCATGTTGCGTTCCGCTATACAAATAATAGGAAGTTTGCCTTTATTTGCCCATATTCATTTAAAAAGGCAACAGAAAACATTATTTTTTTCATTTTGTATTTAAGATATAAAAATTTACTTTACCTTTATTGATTTTTATCTTTTAGTCTGCATCTACACAAAAGAAGGGTTACCGTTCAGATAAAATTAATCGCGACACATATTTTAATATCTTTGTTAACTCGGAACGCAACTCGATAACTCCACTGAAAAAATCGATACATTCTTTTAAAATTAAACTTTAAGTTTTATGACATAAGGTCGTTTTTCCTTTTACTAAATATGATGATATCAATTTAATAAGAATTGTCAATCGAGTTATTTTATTATTTACTTAATTAATCGATCTTTAGATCATCGAATAAATCAATTAGTAAGGTCCATTTTAAAGTCACTTTTCTCTAAAGAACGTATTTTTTTTTAAATTACAAAACGAATTTGAAACTATCTTCATCGAATTAAATTGTTAATACGATTCTCTTGTTACTATTAAAACGCCTTATTTAATAAGTATAGTTATTTTCTCATTAAGTTAAATTGTTTTAATAAAATTCGTGCACAAAAACATGATACTTCTGTATGACGTCATAGTTCCGTAACTTACAGTACAGGTAAGAGGTTAGTGAGCATCGCAACTTCATGTTTTTGTGCACAAGTTGTAGTATAACTAATGTTTAAATAAGATACAGCGCTTGCCAATGGTAACCGTTATTATTATAGATTTACCGTAGGTTTCTGAAACCACAAAAAAACTATTCTTTAAAAATGTTGTTATCTCTGTTTTATCAATGACACAGATGACAATATTTTATACAGAGATTTTGGGCTCGGAAACCAACTATTAAAATGTGTAATTTATTTCATACGAACTTTTACATTTATCAAAGAACCATAGAACAAAAAACCGGTCATACAATAAACTTGAAAATAGTAAAATATATGTTATAATTATCCAATAAAACATACAAGATTCATATAATCATATATGTACATAAAATATAAATATATGTACGGGAATTGCGCAATAATATTAAATATCATTACAAAATATTTACAACAGGGTGACCGGTGTACCAAAACTACGTTACCAGATTATATTGACATACTATTGAAGTATATTTATTTTGTACATAATTTTTATATGTTTAGATAATTTCTAAACTATATAATAGCCAATGTTTTACTTAACACTAATGAAATTAAAGATCTTTTAATAATGAAAATGTTTTCATATATGTAAAAAATCATAGGAAAATGTAAACAATAATTACAGTGTTCCTAAAATCATTATCAAAAATTCACTTTTATATTTATTCAACACAAAATTTATAATTATATTAATTTTTGCATTGTGATACAATTTATTTTAAATATTTTAGTGCTGATTTAAAATCCTTTCGGTGCTCAAATATAACAAAATAAACGTAACAGATATATTGTAAAAATTATTAAATAACTTTGTTGCCTTATATATATGAGTTTAGTTTGTCATGTACTAAACTATAGACCGACAAACTTATCTGACCCGGTGGATATAAGTAACAACCAAAATGTTAAGGATAGTGCTCAGTCTTGTCTTGCCTAGTGTCTAGCGCCTAGTCTTGTGACATTTTTATGACTGACTGTGGATTTCTTAGACCGAAATCTTCCCATAAAATATATTTTTGTTTTGTCAAGATAATGACTGAAATGACGATATGTTTTATACAGAGATTTCGGTCTTGGAAACTAAAGTTAATAAGGTTATACATGTTTTCTAACAACAAACCGTTATATACCTTTTTCACCGGGTCAGAAAAGTTTGTCGCACTGTAAGATCCTTGAGTAGCTAACTTGAAACATGACATTATGTTAAGACTAAAACCTAAATCCATTCGAAGTCAATTTATATTAAGTCTTCCATTTATTAATTTTACGCACATTTTCATTGTAAATATTCTTTTTTAAGTATACAATTTAATTGTATAAAACAAAATTTTAATAAATATTAATTTTTGCTTAGATGAATTATTGTTTATGTTTTATCATAAAATGTAACAAGAACATGTATTTTTGTAATCATAGTTTTAATACAAAATTATTGCGCGTAAAAAAACCTTTATTGTTTTTTGTGGAATGTAAAAATATACATTATTTCACTTTTAATTGTCATTTTGTTAACCCTAACCTAACAAAGAACGAAATTCTTTTTTTAAAACAAAAGAAGTTGCTATTTCCAAAAGAAAAAACACAGAAAAAATATGGCAGTCGACATTCGCAGTTACCTATAAATTGCTTTATCATCATCAGCTCACTATACGTCCCCACCGAAGGGCTCGGAGCATACCCTTTTTTTTAAGAGGGGGAATGCGTTACGCATATCGGGTGCCTCGGGGAAAGCCACTCCGGTTATGTGGGACTCTCTCCACATCCCTAAAGGGACAAGGAGCCTACCCACTAAACCCCCTCTGGTTCCCTCGACTCACTGTTTACCGGGGTGTGGGCACATGTGAATACTCTTCGCACACACCGGTCGGTGACTGGTTTTGAGCCTCCACACTAGTGTAGACTCTTTGCACGCGGAAAACCGTGCGCGCCCTCTCTATCGGAGCATACCCTAGGTTAAGGGTGATAAGGCCATAGTCAACCACGCTGGCCCAGTGCGGGTTGGTTGACTTCCCACATATCTTTAAATTTCTTCTCAGATATGTGCAGGTTGAATTACGATGTTTTCCTTCACCGTAAGAACGTCGGATAAATGTACATATGTAAATCGGAAATCGAAAAACACATTGGTACATGGCGGGATTCGAACCCAGGACCTGCAGATTGCAAGTCAAGTGCTTGACCTCTGAGCCACCGACACTTACACACTGATTGTATCATTGTAATTTGGTAGGTGAATTCAATGGATGTAGTGAAATCCCAATAGTACAGGGGGGGCTCGACCCCAGCCGCGGAACTAAATTATTCTATTAGCAACAGGAATGGAGCGATCAACGCGCGAACACGCGCCGCTTCCTACCTACACGCTCCGTTGAGCACGTCACGTTTACGCGAATTACTGTACCTAATTACACAACATATAGTCCGACGAAGTTATCTGAACCTGTAGGTATAAATGAAACTGAGTAATAATACCATTTTAACGCCCTTATCAATGACAAAAAGTCCCACAAGATCGTTGTAGAAATGATAAAGTCGTACTTACATCACTAGAAAACTTCACACTTTTTGTTAAAATTAGATTAACCCTTAATTCGATGGTGTCCAGTGTGACGAACAACTAATTAAAAAAATCTACAGAATTCGTTTAGAGAAAATTACGTAAGTATGACTTTACAAAAAAAAAAACAGTTTTTTTTGCTACAAAAAATTTCGTGGAATTAAGAGTTAAATTGATTACGGTTTATTTTCACGGCTAAAAACCTTTAAGGGTAGTAGTTTTTAGAAATTATTTTGTAACCTTGAGAAATAATAAATTTTAATATTTCGAAATATGAACAGACGACAGGTAACAATTTTGAAACGGTTTAAAAGGTTTTTGAGTTAATTCAAAGTAAGTATCAAAGCAAAATCCTCTTGAGACTAAGGTTAACATTGTAAGAAACATAATCATACGTAATGTTAACAAAACCATAATACGCCGTAGTGAAATATTATAATGTCTCAATAGGCAAGCTCGTGCGGTTACCGTAACCTTTTTGTTGTTATTACGGTGAGCGGTTATAACCACATGTTTTGTTCCACATTGGAACATAGCTTTGTCGAAGTAAAGTGTGTTTCATACCTTCACATATAGACCTTCGCAAAATTTCATCGAGATCCATGCAGCCGTTCTAGAGATACCTTCTAATAAATAACTATCCACTTTAACATATGCATTTAAAATATTAGTATGATAAGACATAATTTTCTAGAATCCGTTAAAATTTGCAATACAATATTGCAGCTCACTCGACCTCAAATAAATAGAGCGACTTATGCAAGTTTGCAGGAAATTAAATTTGAACAAACAGTTCAGGAAAATACGACGTCTAGTCAATGTTAGCTTTGAAATTAAGGTAGAATTATATAGTCGTTTAGTTTTCAGTTTATATATTGGATACAAGTAAAGATATACATTTTCATAGAAATTATTAATTTACAGTATTTTTTGACTTTGCAGGAAATAAAGTGTAAGTAACGGTAAAACATAAGTATAAAAATGTTAAATGTAACTTATTAAATCGCTTTATAATGAGCAAAAACAACTCTGATGGTTAAGTATACTTTTACCGTGATTGTTTCTTTTAATTGGTCATTTGCAATATAAGTCTGACTTTTAAGGTCAAAGCCTAAGTAAATATTTCGCTGTCTCGGCACCAAAAAGTTGGTGAAATCTGGCGTAATTTAAAAGAAAATAATGTAGATCTTAGTTATCCTGTTAATTTCCTTAAATGGATTACAAGTGATATATTTCCAATATGCTCTGACACTGCGCCAGGAATCAGCTTTATTACGTTGGTTTGCGGACAAAATGGGAAGGACAAGTTTGCGATAGCCGGCCCCGGATTCAACGGATTTCCGCATTCGTGCGGTGTACATTGGATTTATATTGAATGTGAAATATATTTGCTGTCAGTTTTATTTATTTTTACTTTTTCTTTGTGCTAATAATTTGTTTCTTATTAGCCATCGATGACCTTTTATAGGCACTTTAGTTGGCTTGAACATTTAATGTGTCAATTATGGTTAACTTAGGGTAAGGTGTACTGTGTGAGTTACAAAATATGTCGAAAGATCTTTAAACCATATGTTTTCTCTAAATTCAATTCAATAATAAGCCTAGCTTCCTTAGAAGCTAATTTATGTTGTCGCGAAATTCCTTTAATTATATTAGGAACGAATGATATGTGTTCTTATTAAATTGGATTGTGTTGTCTAGTTTTGTGTCTATTGTCTATGGCGTACTAAGATTTGCCTGATTTTATATATTAATAAAATAACATAATATGATTTCGTTTATACAAGATAAACCTATCATTAAAAATGATATATTTTGTGGCATTAAATTTATTGGGTTGTAAATAACGAAGATATACGAAAGCACAACCGACAATGTTTTAACACAGAAATGGAAATATTTGTAAAATATTGAGGTCATCGTTCATTGTTAATTGTCATAATTAAATGTTTTAATAAAAACACAACATTCTTAGTATGTTATTAAAACTAAATCACTGCAATTGAATTCAAAGGCAATAGGAAGAATTTCTAAAGAAAATGTAAAATTGTCACCGTTCGATTGCGAATTTCGTCAGTTCAAAAAATGACATTTTACATATTATGTTAAAAGTTTAGTTTTGCTATAAGGAAGCTAAATTATCACGATAAGATATATTTTAAAATTCTTAGACAAGCAAAGTTAATCTAACAAAAGCTAATCTTTTATATTTGTCCCCGTCATTCTGTTTAAAAACAAACAGATATAATAATATTATGTTTCTGTATAAGTTTATCGACATTGGAAACTCAGGGTTATGTCAAAAAGTTAGAATCTTTGAAAATTAAAAATGAATTTTAAAGTACATAAAAACCCTAAGCTATAGAACAATTTATTAGAATACGTAGTGAGGTTAATGTGTTCGAGACTGGAATAGTCAGTTAATTTCGTGTCAGTAACGTAAGGCCTAGTCTCCCAGAGGAGCAACTTGTCTCGATTTGGGACGGAAGATTTACGCCTCAATGCCCGCTTGACCTACTGTTTGAGACTTAATTTATTTATGTGAACACTAGACTTGAAGCTAACATTATTATATGGAAAGTTCTACTTGATATTATAAACGCATATAATATTATTTATATAAGTACAAATCTTACTAATATGATAAATTCGAATCTTTAGATGGATGGATGAACAGATGTTTATTTGAAGGTATCTCCAGAACGGCTAGACAGATCTCGTTGACATTTGGCACGCATATACAACATAGTGTGAAAGAACACATAGGCTACTATTTTTTTTTAATTCCGCGCGGACGGAGCCGCGGGCGACAGCTAGTAATTATTATATTATCAATCATGATCTTGAACAAAGAATGAATGCGCTGTGTCAATAATTTTAGGATGTAGAGTGTCCTTAAGTCGTTATCAATGACATCTGTTATAGTATCATTCAAACTTTAGTGCAGTTCGCAATTTTACGGACACAGACATATGAGGGAAACAAAATATGAAGTATCGGAGAATATATAATACAATATGGATTAAAAAAAAAACTTAATAAATAGGCTACGTGTTCTTTCACACTATGTTCTACATCTGTGACTTCGGCCAGATCCGTTAATCTGTTCCGGAGATAACTTCAAACAAATACCCATCCATATAAACATTCGCATTTATAATATTAGTAAGATAAAGGGATGGGAGAGTACAGTCCTGCGAGAGCTTTCTTGCACTAGTAGTCTACATAGAGAAACGCGACTCTGAGTAGCCATAAATTTTGAATCTTATAATACTGGGTATTCTTCATAAATATCGCTAACGGTGCGTTACGTGCTTGTCGACTTGTTTCAAATGATACATCGATAACTACCAAGATTATTCTAATTCTTTAAGGGCTTAGGCTTAAGTGATATTAGAGATTTGATTTAATAGGTAAAAAGAGATAGTACGTCGGAATCGGTTTTAAAAAGGCTAAAGATGCTAAAAAATATTCGCGATATTGAATTGCAACTTATTCCGTTCACCCAAAAATTACACTTTTGCTCATAACTTTAATATTGTTTAAAGTGTAACTTAGTTTTAGTTAAGTCAAATATTATTTTAATTTTTGAATTTTCTATCTTTATTCCTCTTTAATGTAGTCTTCTATAAATAAAATGGTAATTAATTTGTTCCATTTTTCCATACTTTAGGTTATATTTTCGCGAGCGGTTGCAAATGCACTCGACTGGAGGGTTCAGTACGATATTCCTTCACAAATATTTTTTGTTTGGTTTTCATTCCAATTTTTTTTTCGTTTTTTTTGTGTTGGAGTTCAATTCACGACTTTCTAGCAGCAGCTTTTATTATAGGTGCGTACTGAAAATTTAAAAAGTAGTTAACAAAACGAACACCAGGACTTTTATAAATTTGCTAGTATAT